AATTGCACTAAGCTGTATGATGTTGCCTCTTTCAAAGATGTGCATTCAAAAACTTCCCAGAGGACAAATTTAGGAATTGGCGATTTAGAAGAGTCAGCACCCGCAATCTTTCATCAAAGGGTATCCAATCTGATCGCCTCTCTAAGGAGGTCACGATTATTCTTACTTATTAGTTAACTTAAAGGAGGGAGTGATGACCTAAAGAAAGTTGTGGGAAATAATTTTCTTAGAGAAATAGTTCGCGTAATAGAAATCATGAAAATTTAATACACCCCTGTAATGATTGTTTAATGGTTTTCTGACACGCTCATCAGAACACAAAGGCGAAGTAAGGTTCAAAATGCGGCTTAATTCATTGCCAAGTTTGGCAGCATTAACGAATGGAGTCATTTATCCCTCAAAACTAGAGGCAATATTAGGAAACCTATTCATGCTGGAAGTTTATTGACGAAGAAAATTTTGGCCCTAGATTTAAGAGCCGTTGAGAAGCCTAATTAAATTTCTCTTGTCAAGATGGCTATAAAAAGATACTTTTATTCTGCTATTTATCACTAGTTATTCATTCTCAAGCCCCTTGCATAGACAACTATGATGAACATTCGCCGGTCTTTAACTCTACCACCTGAATCTTTTTACGGAACATTAAACTAGATAGTAAAGTTGGTCCTGTCTCCAGTGCACAACCTTGTCGTTCAATCGAGGACTCACGTATTTTATTTGTTTGACGTAAAAAAATATTTTTTTTTCGAATGTAAACAAGTTTATGAATTGGAATTTAGCCGACCTTGCGGTGGCAATGCATTAATTTTCCTTCTGCGACTACCATTCTTCTCTGCTACGGTGGAAGATTTATGAATCGTGCCTTCACTCCATACAATTAGCGGCGCCAGGCGGGCATGGGAGCGGATCCGCATAAATGTCTTTCCTTTTTGCCCCTTCCCTACTTTGAAATTATAACGCTTCCAAACGTCTGTTACAGCCTAACGAGAATGAGCATTCGTTGCAAATTGAACGCCTATCTCTGCACCGCTGATAACCTCAAACACGGTTGTGGCCTGAAAGCAGATATTAGTTTTTAGTCTATTTCAGCAAAATTTTCACTTGGCTTTGAGTGACTATTAATGACTACGTTAGGTGTTTCATCACACAACTTGTGTAAAGGAGGAATTTAGCAATCAAAGGAAACTTAGAATCACGCTTGAGGTAATTATGTTCTCACATGTTTGAAGTCAGTGCAGCGCCCCAAGACATCATCCGGGTAGGGGAAGGCATTACGTTAAACAAAACATGTAGTCGAAGAGAAGAAAAAGGGCTGAACTTTTTGCATGGCCGTAAGACCAGGCCACGTGTGCGAAGGAAAAATGAATACTAAAGTAACCACTCGCTAATTTAAG